AGATAGTAACAGGGATATTAGAGTATAAGGACTCTGGTTGGGGGAGGAAGGCTATGGGAGGGTGCCATCTGGGAAGTGGGTATAGAGATGAATAAGATGGTTTGGGATGTTCTGTGTGATATACACACACAAAAAAAAAATCAACAAATTTAAAAAATGCATTATATTTGAGGAGGAAGCATGGAAATTTACATCATCCTAATTAGTAGAGGTGAAAAATATTACCATTGAAATCTACCCAATGACTTTATAGACAAACACAGGTGCCAAGGATCCAAGTGCAACTGATTATGACTAGTAATAAACAGATACATACAGATTAGAGATGCATGCACCAACATCTCAGTGTTAGTTGCAAATACAATGAGTCTTTCCGTAAGGAACAAAATATTCTAAAATGAAATGGAGATATTTTATAAAGATTAAAAACTCGCTCAGTTTAATGTCTTACAGGGCTTATACTGAGTTCAATATTGTATAACTATTAATTCAACTGTGAACCCAGAAACTTACAGCCACTTGTGAAAGAGATGTACTCTTGCTCTGGAGTGTGTTACTGAATATGTTAAAGCTGTAGTGAAATGCTTCTTCTAATCATGTAGTTATTAAGTTTTGTTTTAGACAGGAAACAAAAAAAAAAGAAAAAGAAAAACCTGAATTTATTAAGCTGCAGTCAAATGCTATACTGACTGCAGTAGGTGATGGGGTGTTTTTCTTACAGTCTCACCAAACTTAATCTTGTTAACAGTACATAACAATCTGTCAATCTGATAAAAAAAAAAAAAAAAGTAGGCTAAGCAGGTTTAATTAATTTGTTCTTTTTTTGTTTGCGTCTCACCATAAGCTGCTGGGCCATTTGCCTGTTCAGTGCCTTTGCTCATTCTATTAATGAGTCAACAGCATCATTGTGGATGGGTTCCCAAGAAGCTCCAGACCAAAAGTACTGCTTGCTAATCTCCTTCACTCCAGGAATCCAAGCCCTTATCTAAGTAACAGAAAGCTACCAAGTTGCCTTATCAAGGTAGTTTTGCATAACTGTGGTTTCACACAATGCCTGGGTATTTTAGTAATGATTCAGAGCAAAGGAGATTGTCAGTTCTACCCTGTCATCAAACTCCTTATTGAGAGGAGCATGGCTGGAAAGATGGCTTAATCAGTAAGAGCAGGTGCTGCTCTTGCAGAGGACCCAAGTTCCATTCCTAGCACCTATGTTAGGATACGTACAACTACCTGTAACTTCAGCTCCAGGAGCCCTGATGCCATTTTCTGGTGTCCCTGGGCACCTGCACTCATGTGCACATACCCCACCTCCACACACATAATTAAAAATAAAAATCTTTTAAAAAGTCTGTCCTAGTCAGGTGTGGTGGTGCACACCTTTAGTCCAAGCATTCGGGAGGCAGAGATTGGTGGATCTCTGAAATTGAAGCCAGCCTGGTCTACATAGTGAGTTCCAGGACAGCAGGGGCTACAGGGAAACCCAGCCTCAACAAGACCAAAAAGAAAAATAAAAGACTGTCCTAAAACCACTGCATAACAAACGTCTCTCTAGGCTCAGAGATCAGAACAGGTGTTTTTGTTTAACTCATGAGACGACAGTGTGGTAAATAAACATCTTCCTAAGCAAGGAATACATCTTTTGGATACTTGCATTTCAGAACTTATAATATCAGCAAATCTAGAGCAAAGCTTGCTGCACACCTCTGAAACCCTTGCTTCCCTTGGGGGGCATTTGCAGCTACTTTGACATGAGGGTGGGGTGCACATGTGATTTCCTTCTCTCCTTTTGGTTTGCAAGTGATTGTTTTCTTTTACCTTTTCCCAGTTCATGGTAGCCACTAGCCTCTACCTCATGGTGCTGTGAGTGCTAACTGAGTGGATGCAGATAAGAGTGCATAGGGCTGCACCTTGCAAGCAGTAAGCTTGAGTGACCATCAGTTGTTGCAAAGGGAAGGATAAGCAGATGTTTCCCTGTTTGCTTAATAAACTCCCGGGCACTCTCCGGAGCTAACATACTGAGTGCCTTGCAACATTCCTGCCCTGAAAGTCAGCTAGCGCTCCTGTGAGGTCTGCTGGGCACCTGGTGGGGGAGGGGAGGGGACTGAGAGGCTAGGACCTTGTAGGAAGGCACTGATCAGTAGAACCTGCTGAGCTAGGTCATTAACCTTTCCCTTTCAGCTGTAACCTATAGCCTCAAGCAGACTGTAAAGGAGCCACTGCCTGGGTCCCAGGAGCACTGTGTAAGCAGTGCTCAGCTCCCCTCTGCTCTGGCCAGCCTCTCTCTCTGCCTCACTCTCTCTGCCCAGGGCCAACCTCTAGTAGCAAAACAGCTCCAAGTTGTCCCTTATCTCCCCTACTCTCTGCTGCCAATGTGCCACAGGCCTTGGGCACAAACTTTGCTTCTCCAAATATTTGTCTACCCAGGACCACAAATTTGGGGTGGGGCAGGGGGAGGAACAAGGGTCAAAGATAATTATAAATTTTTTTTAAAGTGGAAACCTGGAACTCAATATGTAGATCAGCATCAACTTGTGGCAATCCTCCTGCATCAGCCTCCTGAGTACTGGGATTACAGACTTGTGCCACCATGCCTGGCTTCCAAGCATAAGCCTTCTTTTAAGATTCATTTCTATTATTTTATTAACTACGTGTTTGTTGTGGGGGAGTGCCCTTGGAGGCCAGAGGTGTTAGATTCCCCTGGAACTGGAGACAGTTGTGAGATGCCCAAAGTGGTGCTGGGAATCAAACTCAGGTCCTCTGGAACAGTAATTCACTGTCTTAACCACTCAGCCATCTCCAGCCTCAAGGCCTTCTTATCCACAACACTGTTACCCTTCAACTTTTTTTTTTTTACTTATTTATATAATGTAATATATGAATATCTTTCCATATTAGTTCACAGAGATTGTATTAGAAGGAGGTAAAAATTATACTCAGTTAAGCTTTAAACACTATGTTCTCCAAAGAGCAAATGGCTACTGGTGAGGAAAACTGACTCCAGTCGAGCCACATTGGACTTAGACTGGGCCTCTGTTTTCTTGAGCAATTCCTCCACCTCACCAGCCTCACTTCCCTCAGCTGTGCTACATTTTAGGTTACATCCCACAAAATGGGTATCCTGTAACGTGGCTTTAATGCACTGACAAATGGGTTCCTTACAGATGCAAGGTTAATCTTAAATGTCTCTGTACAGGAAGGTTGCTGGGTCAAAGAACAAGTACAGAGAAATGCTAACATGTGTCACTGCTGTATTTCCAGAATGTTACACCCATGTACACTCTGATCCACAGAGTGGAAAAACCATTTGTCTACGCTGTTACTAATACCTAGTAGTAACAAACATTGTCATGTTTCTCCACTGGGTAACTTAAAAAAAATCTTATTTTAATTTATAATTCCCTGTGTCAGAGCTTCTGCATCTTTCTGTGTGAAGTTGTTTTTCCATGAAGTACCTTTCCATGTATGATGCATTCTTTTTGCACTGTGTTTGCTTGAAATGTTAATGATTTAATGCCCTTTGTACAAGACAATGTACCTTTAGTTAAAATGTGTCCAGATTTCATCTCAGATTATCTTTTATAACTTTATGTGCTTAATTTTTAAATGTGGTTAAATGACCCACATCTTTTATGACTCCTAGAACAATTACCTGTGTTACTACACAAGCTGTTCACAACAGTAGAGAGACACCTGTCATTATAACCTCTCACCTTGGTGGGAAGATTCAGAGACCTGCCCACACAACACTGGGTGTGGACCTCAAGGCAGTGGATTCATCACCCAGGTCTTCTCTGGTAGTCTTTCAGTGCTTCCCAAAAGGACTTTCAAGCCATGTAACCACCTACACCACTCTCCCAAGCCTTTAGAGCAAAAGAAA